TGATTTTGTCATTATGAATGTTGACATGAGAAGGAATACGGTGAATATAATGCCAGGGATATACAGGTGTTGTAGGTATGGGACAGCAGAGAAGTCGTCATCGTCTATGATATTGTTGTTGTCCCCTTCCCATAGCAGTTGTTAGACAAACAGAAGGACGCTGCGAGTGCGCATAATTCACATGAAAATGGTGTATTTGGAGACAACCTAAACGTGCATAGCATTCTGCTGTTGATGTACTTTCCTTCAACCTTGTAAATGCAACATAAAGAATACTTATGCATATATATATTATACTACCTTACTTTTAAAACAAAATTAGTGATATTTACCTTCCATTTCATACCATCTTCTTATTCTTTCTCTGCTATGTGATCAGTGTGCAGCACACTTGTAAAGCATACTCTGTGTCTTAGGGGAAAAACTTCCTACTCATATTACCAAATGTGTGCTCTGATATTCAGTGAGACATATTGTTTAAACAAGCACATTTTGTAACTTATTTGTCATACTTGCCTGTTGTTTTTTTAATAATATACATATTCATATTGAGCAAATCTCATTCTCTATCTTAAGTGAGCAAGAAAGAAATTTTGCCCTTCTAGAAAGGGGAAATGGTATGTTGGCTAATCATGAAGAAGCTGCAGTTGCATCTTTTATAGATCAGATCCTTAGCTAGTATAAATAGGTGTAGCTTGCAATATGTACATGCTGGAAAAATAGGAGCTCCAAAACAGTGCCTTATGAATTGGATAAAGTCATCAATAGTAACTGCCTCCTAGTCTTGAAGACAACATACTGAAATATGGCAACTGCCTAGGGATGAATGGCCATGAGGCTTTCAAAGGAGCCACACCATTTGTGTGTTTTATTTACTCACAAAAACACTGTGCAAGACTCTTGTTTGAAGCTTTTATACTGACTGTAATGGCAGCAGAATGGACTAGCACCATGCTGCATGTTTAAAGTCTGTGTGGGGAGGAGAGCATGCATGACAGGTTAAAGAGAAGAAAATGGTGAAGAACAAGCCTGAAGAATCGAGGGTAAAAGGTGGAAATTAGAGCGATTCCCCCACCAGACCCAGATTAATTTCAGTTGAACAAGTAGGCCTAGGGAATAAGTTTCTTGTTTTGCAGTAAACATAAAGTTTAGTGCAAGTTTAGTGTTTTTAGTACAGAACCTTTCACCTGACTAGTTGTTGAGCAACAACAATGTTTTATCTTTTATTGCTGATCTACAAAGGAGGGGGAAAATATTCCCCAACTTTACATATGAAATAACAGTTTTCTAATTTACTAACCCATATTCCCTTTCCCATTGTCCAAAGAAAGAGGGATCTTACAGACAGTCTTTTTGGTGCTATTAAGGATAGTAGTAACTATTCCTTTTGCAGAACAAAGAACACTGCTAGTTGTGTGAAGTGTCCTGAAGCTGCTGTTGTCAAATCCTAGTTCTGTTCTTTGAAAACAGGACAAGTTGTAGGGAATGTTGCACACAGTGAAGTTATGATGGCTGCCTCAAGTTAATGAAATTTATGAAATTGAGACTTACGAAACAAAAGCAAAAAGAGCTAGGAAAAATGTGGGGAGGTTGGGAGGACAAAGAAGGGAAGGGGGGTGCCATCAGTGATCTATACTGCCTATACTGTTACAGTTGGATTGGTGCTGAAGATTTAGCTGAAGTCTTGATCTTCCTGTAAAACGGAGAGAGGTACAGGCTCAGAGGATACCAGTTTGCCAACCAGTCCTAAAATGTATTATTTCTAATCTACCTTTGTTCCCCATTCTGGTTTGCCAGAGATTTCTTGAGCACCTTGGAAGATGTAAAGGCAATAAAGACTCCTTGCTCTGGTTATTTTTCTAGCTAGCAGGTTCAGGCCATTATTTTTCTGTTACTTTCTCCTTTTGTCAGTTCTGATCTTATGACAGTTCTCCTGCTGTTTCCTGAAGGCTGTCTTGTCTGAAATGGTTTATTAGTCTACCTCAGATTTATAAGCCACTTTGCAATAGGCTGTATTAGATGTTTAAATACCCTAGAGGAAAGCCTGGTTGCAAAATACGGACGTTTTAAATACAGAAGGGAGTGACCTGTGACTGGATATCTAATGCCATTTTAGATCTCTCAGCCTCCAGCTGCTGTGAAAACAAAGGCATGAGTCACCATAGACCCTCTCACATATGTGCCAACCCATCATGGATGTCAGAGATACCATGGGTATATAAGCACCCGTGTTTAGACATCTGAATTGCTCCCAGGAGATCTGAACATCTTGCAGTAGCCAAAAGTGTAGACGCAAAAAGAATTGTTCTGTCATCAGTGTGATGAAATGGGTATATTGTGAGATTGGCAGCAGAGATTTTTTTTTTTTTCACTGTAGTGACACCTATGCTTTTGCCACCACAACCAATGTCAGATTCTTCCCTGCCTATATTCTAGCCATGAAAAAAGCAGTTTCTTCCTAGCCATGATGAAAGAGAATCAAATGAATCATTCTGTATCTTTTAGCCTAACGAAGATGATTGCTGACTCCTTATCACTAAAAGGCATGGGAGTACGTTGCTAAGTTGGTACTGTATTTGGAGCTGAATATGTTGCTTAGAAAATACACTTACAGGTGTATGTGTAGTCTCTTGCTCATTGATAATAGCATAAACTCCACATAGATCTCTTGTAGTGGGCAAGTGCTCAGCACTTTAAACAACTTTACAAGAACTTAAGAGCATTTGAACCTCCAAGAGGCAATAACTTTTCACTTATTCCAGCGTTCTGAGTAATATTTTATCAGGAAAATAGAAAGATGTGTTAGTGGTTAACAATTCAGTGTGTTTTACTTTTTCTCCTGATAGCTTACCTCTCAGAGTAAAAAATCACAATGAAAGAGACTAAAAGTTTTAGAAGATTAAAGTAGAAAGCCTTATTTCACTAATGTGAGTTTCTCCTTGCAGGTCAGTTGTGTTGGGAAATAGTCATCATTGAAGCAATTACATCTGTTATGAAATGTCACATTTGGGTGGATAACTTTTTATGTTCTGGCACTGAATGTTACTTCCAGTTGTGTTTTCTGAGTTGGACGGGGAGTGTCTTACTATCTCACATTTCTATAATGTTAAGCAATTAGTGTGATGCTGGAAGACAGTTATACCATGGTACAATCTCACATCAAAATGTCAGTGTTGCCAAAAGACATATAATATTGAAAACCATGTAATGTTACATATATCAAAACACTGAGATCATTGTTTGAATGATCTTCTCAGTAGAAAGCAGGATCTGATCTTTACAGTTAGGGACTAATTCTGCACCCATTCAGTTACAAAAGCTGGGTGCAGGGTGATTTTGGTCTGCATGGGTGGAGTTTGCACAAGTAACTTACTTGCTGACGAACAATCTGCCATTGGTAAATGCCTGTGAAACTTGGTAAAGGCCAGACTGGAATGCTGTGAAGGAGGAAAGTGGTATTGGTATAGAAATAAACAGAGTGATGATCTCACCTGAAGGTGAATTACTTGAGCTGTATTAAGCTATAGCTTCAATTGTTGTGTTTCTGACTAAGGCAGTAGAAATTTTGACTTCTCTAACTTTTAAATGTAATTATGCAGTTTGCAGCAAGTGTAGCTGTACCATGTAGTGTTGGTGACATGCACAGTCTTCCCTTCTAGTGAGAAGGTGACTGATTGAACAGCCCACGTCACCTTGGCCTACTGTAATCAAGCCCCAATGGGCCATCGCCCAGCTTCTGGCCAGTTGGCGATCAGCGATTGACATCAGGGGGCAGGGAGCTCCTGTGCTCACAGGAAACAGTAGTAACCTGAAATAGCCACCTCGGTATTGTTGCATGAACATCAAATACTTCCTTGCGATAACGTAGACATACTGTTTGTTGATTTTATTATGCTACCGTGGCTCACTAGTAGTAATGTGCTTCATTTAACCTGTTTTGTAATATTTTAAACTACGCATTGGACACGCATTCATTCTGCACTTGGGGCCTGATCCACAGCATACTAAATATGTTTGAAAGATCCAGTCTACTTCAGTGACTTTTGGCTCAGGCCCTCTATTTCTCTGAATGCTGTTGCTTTTTTTTTTTTTTTTTGCTTTTTGCTCATGGGCTGTAAGGGTTTTTTCCTTCTTTTATAAATAGCTGCATTTAAAATAAAAGCAAGGAGTTGCACAAAGACAACCTGCATCTCTCTCTATGTATATATTAAATGCAGCTGTTGTCACGTGTAATATTGTAATCAAAATACTGTGGCACTATTCTGTACTCATAATGTAGATGGTAGAATTTCTTATATAGAAAATATTACAAATCTAGATGAGAATTGTCATTTTGTGGAAAGATAAACAGCCACAGAGAAAAGAGATGGCATAGCTAAGTGAATAAACTGATACTCTTCTAGAACTGGAATGGAAATGTATGCTTAATGGCTCTCCACCCTATAGTCAGATGTTATCCTGTCCCCAGCTACTCCCAAAACTTTATCAGAAAGGATAGTACAGAATTTATTTACAGCCATCATAAGCACGTTAAAATACTAGCAGATAGATAGTACTATAGATTTTTTTAAAGTAGAATTAATTTAAAGAGAACTGCAAAGCACACTTGACGTTTTGGAACCTACATAGTATCCTGCATATTTTGAAGGCTTTGTCAAAGAAAAAGCCTCCCTCAGTTGCTTCAGAGGCTTTAAAGACTTAATTTTGATTTTAAATTGCCTATTTGCAGTATTGTCCTTCCACACTGCCTTTTCACATTTTGTATGTTAAAACACACAATTTAAAATGAAAAGTATGCTTTTAAAGCAGCTGTGGGAAAAGGAAAAACGATGGTCAAAAAGGTTCACAGAGCCTTTGGTGCTGAACTAAAATTATAATTTGAACTGAAATTATCTGGCAAAGTAGAGCACGATTTCAGTATGTCATAAAGTTGATAATTTGGATTAATATCTGATACATCTTTTATTATTAAGGAAAAAAATACTATTTTGTCTTTTCAGATGCAGTTGTGTGGAACCAGAACATCCTAGCAATAGAACCTTACGATACTGGCAGGACTACAATATATCTGCATCTGATGTGCTATGGGGGAACCTAACTGTGTCAGTAAGTGAAATATTGGTACTTAATAAATAAAGGCATAAGCATAAATAATTTTGTCTCTCCTACTGCAGCAAATATATTGAAAAAAATACCATGTTTTTTCTGATCGTATTTGCTCAAATAAAGCATAAAATATACTTAACTAAGCAAAGATTAACATAGACTTGGTAGCATTATCTCCTTTTGTAAGCATTTTGCAGCCTTTGATAGTACACATTAAAGCAAGTATGTACATTTTGTGCCCTGCTTTGGAAACTTCTTGACACACCAGCACACGAGTTTGACTGAGATTAAGTCTAAACATGTCAAATGACAACGGATTTGTCCTAAATTCTGCCAGATGGCAAAACCAAAGTTCGCTTGTGTAAAAAGACTCTAGAAACATTTATTTCCCCTATAATGTTCTTACAGCTGTTCGGGCTATAAAGGAGAGGAAGGGGAGAAATTTTGTAACGTTTTCTGTTCAGTGACCAAATTTCTCTCTTACGTAGGCCTTCAGTGTTATGTATGTCTTAGTTGTGTAATTTTTTTTCCGGGGAGGCGAGCGGGGGTGGGGGGGATGGGAACAAGCTACAGACAGTTTGCGATGCTTGCATGGATATGTAACTTGTTTCTAAATGGTACACTTTTCTAGGCTTAAAGGATATATTACTTCAGGTTTGCTTTCTTTAAAGCAACATTTACAACTCGATTAAAATGTCATATTGAGATCAGGCCACGACTTTTTCTCACAAATGGATCATTTCATGACACAGTCAAAAAGAATTGAGTGCAAAAGACACCAGACTGAAGGGTTCTCTCAAAAATATAACTGAATTAACCCTGTCATAGGCATAACCAAATGAAACGCTTAAAAGCCAATCCAGTGGACTATCTCCAGCAGATACTGTTTTTTCTTCCCATGAGTTAAGCAAGAGCTGTCTTCCATGGCTGCTCTGTCTTGATAGCAAGGACTGCTCCTCAACTCTGTTGGTGTGGCAACAGCAGAAAGTTGAGAACTGCTGGCCTGAGGGATTCCAGCAATCCAGAATGAATATTCTCAAAATTGCAGCACACTCTAAGAGCATCTGTGCAGGGGCAGACTCCTCCTCTCACTTTCTCAGATCTCTGACAGTGTTTTTCAGAGTACATTTGCAGCTGAGGAGATTTAAAATAACAGATTTTGTTTTAACTATAAATGTAAAAGACTGGCTGCATTATATAAAACCCTTTAAAACTTCTGTAAAAGCTTATTACCGAAACTTGAGTTTACATGGGTAGCAGTATAACTGACCGACTTTTCCCATGAGTCCCTACAGTTGTCAAAGAAATAACTGAAATTTTTCATACTTTCATGTATTTATTTCTTGCAAGCATCATCAGGAAACTTCAATTCTCCTGTTCTAGAGATGTGCAGTAAAAGGTTAGACCTAATTGTCTCTAAATATTTGGTCAGTCTCACCCCATTGTCTTTTTTACTGCTCATTATTTCCTGTTGTTTCTTGTGTCTGATTTAAAAGTTTCAAGTTTCTGAAGATCTAGACTGGAACTCTCTCTTAAAAACAACAGTAGGACCAACAATTTTTTTTGCTATCTAGGACAAAACGAGTGTGAGCAAAGTGTTCATTCTGATGATGACAAAATCCTTTTCAGTAGCTATATGATGAAATTCATCCCTGTGCTGTGCCAACATCAAGGTCTAGCTCAGGTCAGGACAAGTTTTCTATTTGATGTCCCAGAATCTTGAGAATTTCTTCTGGATTTTCTGAGAATTTTTTCCCCCATCTAAAACCTTTATTTCATCGGTCAGAAGTGCATCATATTTATCCCAGGTTTACTGCTATACCAATATAAAAAGTTTTGCACTCCTTTGTCTCACAGTCATCAAATAGCAACTGTGTTTTTTTTCAAGCCAGCCTTTGTTCACAGCCAGTTTCTCATAACGTGTCAAGCCACAGTATTGACGTGAGTCTGATGAGCCAGTGACCCAGTTCATTTGATACTAGAAGATCCTGATCTGGCAGGATATTGCTGTCTGGAATCTCTGATTCTGGGTGCTGTGTTTCTTTTTGCTTAATATGTGTGGAGAGATTTGGGAAGGAGAAGAGTCCAGAGCTTGTAGCTCACATTTTTAGAGCTACTCTTTATTTCTCTGCTTGCTACCTTGGAACAAGTATGATTTTAAACAACTAAGGATGGTATTGGAGAATTACTAGATATGTTTTCTACTGTATCTGCATATTCGATCATATATTATATTGGATAAAATTAATGTTATGGATTTGGGGTTTTGCTGCATTTTATCAGATTGCTTTTTTTAAGAAAAAGATAATTTGTGGAATGTGCTGCCCCCATGTGGTATTAAATGTATTGGTCTTCTTTTAGGCTAATACTGTACATTCTAAGTAGCTTTTTCTTGAATTGCTTGGCCCGTGAAGTTAAAACAAAAAATCAGTTCTTGAGAATGATCAGGAGCAGCCTTTCTCTTGGTAGCTTTTGAACTTCCCTTTCCTCTCTTGGAAGGAATTAGGAAGTGCAAATCTGTGTTGTAAACAGAATCTAAATAAGTGTACTTGTTCAGTTTGAAATAAATCTGGTTTTATATTAATGACTTTATTTATGGTATGTCTTAGTGACTTCATAGAATCATAGAATCATTAAGGTTGGAAAAGACCTCTCATTTAATTTTGGTTAAACAAGAGATTCTTTTGAGGGTTTGAGAGTTTTCCATGCAGGCTAGATACGTTTTAGGAGTTTTAATTTTTAAAAGAATAAATATCTAAAAATGATTTTACTGTTTCTAGTAATACAATTTGCTTGCAATTTTGGAAAATAATTGGAAAGTAAATATCAGTGTAAGCACGGGTATTTTTCAGAACAATACTACTTTGCTCTCCCTGATAGGAATGTAAAAAGTTTCATGGAGAGTTTGTTGGACGAGCCTGTGGTCATCATGGCCCTTATGTTCCAGATGTCCTCTTCTGGTCTGTCATCTTATTCTTTTCTACAGTAACCCTGTCATCCACACTGAAGCAGTTCAAAACTAGCCGATACTTCCCAACAAAGGTGTGTGCCATTTTTTTAATTCAAAAGTTGTCATTAGTCATGTGTAAGCATGAATTCCATCTGCATTGCAAATTCAATTAACTGCTGGTGAAGTGGACACGGCATCTTTTCTCATTGTATCAGAATAAGCATGGTTTTAGCTGTAAGCACAAAATGGCTTAAAACAGTGAAGAAAAATAAATCCTAAATCACAAATGAATATTTTGGTTAAAATTGTCGTTTCTCTCAATAATTGTAGGTACGATCTGTTGTCAGCGATTTTGCTGTCTTTCTCACTATTTTGTCCATGGTTTTAATTGATTATGCGATTGGGATTCCATCACCAAAACTTCAGGTTCCAAATGCTTTTAAGGTAATTTGTTGATAAATTGCACTGCCTTCTTATTTTGACAAAGTAGTGTGCGATAGTGGGTTTATTATATTTTTTTATCATCAGGGAGTAGTGATACTATTCTGAATTTTTCATGTTCACCAAGTACTATGCAACCTCTCTGATTAGCGGCCCATGTAAGTGAGCCTCTCCCATCAGGCCCCTTCATGCTTCCTAATGTCTTCTGTGTGAGGACCAAACTGGCTCAATTACCCAAATCCTAGACTACTGTAATGTTCTGGGGCTCCTTCCAAATTCTGGGCTCATTGTGTCAAATACAACCAAGTCTGTAATATCCCAGATGATTTTCTTAGATGTAACTTCTCTTTTTGGTATCATAGGAAGTTTAGCATTTTTCTGTGCTCTTACGTAGATTCATTTTAAAGGAAATTATATCCTAGTAATGTTTTTGTATGTATTCTTGTGAAGTTGAAGTGTAAACAATCCTTAGAGTTCTGACTGGTCATGCATGACTGTGTTTTTATAGCCCACCAGAGATGATCGTGGCTGGTTTATTACTCCTTTGGGGCCTAATCCTTGGTGGACAGTGATAGCTGCTGTAATTCCAGCCCTGCTTTGTACTATCCTTATCTTTATGGACCAGCAGATCACAGCTGTCATTATCAATAGAAAAGAACACAAACTAAAGGTAAAGAGTCAAATAGTTGTATTTTCACTGTTGTTTTCTGCTTCAGGTTATGTAATATACCTTCATCTACTAGAGTATGTGAATTTATTATATGTTACATACAACCCCTTTAAATTGTTATGCTTTTTCTCTGTTGGTCTGTGTAGTACCCTGTGTTCTGTGTCAGTGATTCGCTACCTTACAGAAGTCTCTACGAATGTGATTTGGAACAGAGATTCTCAATCAAAAAAAGTGCTATGCTTTATTAGAAGAATGATACCCATTCACCTAAAGAAAAAAATCTGGAAGTTAATTATTTCCTTAAGTACCATTATATTAATTGCCTCTTCAGATATTCACAGTGTTGTTCTACTGGATTGGATTTTGAAAAACTCTTCAGGAGTTATTTTGTAATATAAGATTTTTTTTTTCCCTCTCTTCATCCTTCTCTGTGGTTCTACCCACCCATTTTTTTTATGCCCTTCCTATCTTAAAGAAGGGAGAATAAAAAAACTGAGCTTTAGAGGCACAATGGGTTCTTAAAACAACACAGGACAACTTCCTGCTCTGTTCTCTAACACTTTAGTTGCCTACAGATGGAGAGAGAAAAAGGGACATCACCCCTCTGAAAAACTGTTGGGCAAAATCTAGCAGCAGGTTTCTGTACATGTATATGCAGCGAGCTTAGGCTTTTTTTGACATACTTTTAATAAGCAGCAATCCAATCCCAAGTTGCTTTAGCAAATGCATTTGCAACCTTCACTTTGCACTGCCTCTTCTTGGATGATTGTGACATTTGATATGTTCTTTTTTTGCCCTCTTTGTCAGCCTGGCTCTTCATGTCAATCCATAGCATTGCATGTGGTTAACTTGACAGATGCAGGAATTTGCTGCCAAGCTTTGGAATGTGTTTTTTCAGCACTGGCATCTGGGAGTCAGATGGTCCTCCTGGCTGCCCCCTTGTCTTGCTGCGTTTTAGTTTCGCTGGGGTCTGGTGTAGCATCACCTGTTGCTATGCTTCCTTTTCTTCCCATATGTCAGGTTCCTCAGATCATGTATGAATGTGAGGAAATGCTCTCAGATTCTGTATGCATTAGCAGATACATTCCTCATAAATGTGTCAGAAGGTAAAAAAAGGTGTTTCTGTTAGGATTTAGAATTAAACTCTTTCTTTGAGTGCATTGTGCCTGTAACTAATATCTGTGTTTGACACATCTCTGAGTTTGTCAAGATGTGTCTTGGAGATAAGACTCATAAGCACTTTTGGGGAGTGAGGGAAGATTGCTAGAGTTGATTCTTTTCGTTTTCTTTACTTTATATGAATTCCCCTTTTTAAATAATATAAGCAAATAAGATGGCATTTCATTTCGATATGTGGCTTACATTTTCATAAACCCAGACGCTTCCCATTTTAGAAGTAAAAGTTGTCTTCAGAAAGAAATGATTTGTTTGCTTCCAACTCATTTTACCCTCTTTTTTTATACTTCCCATAGCAAATTCTGAATAGTGCACATTTCAGCTTTTGGCAGTCTCTGTAGCAAACCCTTCCAAGTTTAGTTTAGTTAGTTTTTTATGTCAAAAGGCATTTGCATGGGTTTACAGGCAAAATTATGGTTCAACATATTCACATTGTTTGCATGAACATCACTGTTTCATCAGACCACGACATTGGATTTGCTGCCATATTGCAAAATTTTGTGGAGATAACTAACTACCTGACTTTTTAAAGGAAATAGCTTGAGCTCCTGCTTGCAGCTACATGGTGGTCCTGGATACTTACTAAAATTGAAAAGAAATATCCCTCTCAGCTATGGTAACAGATACCTATACAACCAAGCTTGATGCAGATCATTGGTCATTTTCAAGTGCAGGTTGTACTTGCAGGTTTTTAAATGTATCTAAGATTTGACCAAAGAGTTTTATCCACTACTACAAAAAGCAACATCCTCCTGTTGGTAAATTTACGGAGTATTTGACTACTTACAGAGATGATCCAAACCCAAACGTTTTTTACTGACTTCTCATATGAATGTTTATGATACTACTTTTAAGTATTGAATAGGGAAACCAGTAAAACAGTACCTGATGATGAATATTATTTTAGTTTAATTTAGTGCATATCTTAATTATAGTTTAATTTCTCTTAATTTCTAGCTATCTGTTCTTAGATAAGATGAAAGTACGTTAGTGAAAACTTACTGCTATCATGTGCTTACCATCTATAAAAACTTCAAAAGGATTGATGTGGTTTTATGGCCCTTTATAGCATAAACTGACTTTGCAAATGTTAACTTAAGAATTTTTGTGTAGGAAAGAATCAAAATACATATTTTTCTGCCTCCTGTGTAAGGATGGATGGAGGGTGTATTAAGATTAGTGCAGTGGAAAAGTTGGCAGTGCAGCTGGATGTTCTGCTTACTGTTATCCACAGAAGAGATTTAGTTAAAACAGAAAATGTATGTATTTTCCATTGTCTTACTAGTATCTCTTTTATAAGCAGGAAGGGTATTTGGTGCCCACTGTAAAGTGGATTTATGATATGTACACTTAACTCATAACTGGAATGAGTCTAATAACATTAAGCATTTCATGTGAACTAGTAGGAATTCCCCTTGGATAACCAGTTTGCCATCATTACTGACCCAACCTGGATAACGCGTAGAGGAAAGCTGTTTTTTCCTTACAAGTCACAATTTTTTTTAATTGTCTTTAACTGTTCATTAGGAATGCCTGCCAGGAGTGTTCTCCTTAATTCGGATGTCATTTTATATCTTCTTGCTGTCATTATTTTTTTTTAACAGAAAGGATGTGGATACCATCTCGACCTACTCATGGTAGCAGTCATGCTTGGAGTGTGCTCTATTATGGGATTGCCGTGGTTTGTTGCAGCCACTGTCCTCTCTATTTCCCATGTGAATAGCTTAAAACTGGAATCAGAGTGCTCCGCTCCAGGGGAGCAGCCAAAATTTCTTGGAATCCGGGAGCAAAGAGTCACAGGGCTCATGATTTTTATCCTTATGGGCTCATCTGTCTTTTTGACAAGTATCCTGAAGGTAATTTCGGGAAGTAAGGAAAAGCTAAAGAATACTGCACCACACTGAACATTTCACTGTTGTTAGTGTATTATTTAATGAGTGCCCTTTCCAGGCACATTACTAATGAGCATAGTGTTACACAACGATCATCTAAAGTGAAATTCTAAGTTTGCATAATAAAATGACTAGGGACATCTAACATTTTTAAAACAAAAACCTTGTAATGAAAATCTGGCCTAACTGAAGTCAAAGGGAATTCTGCCATTGACCTGTAGTATATGAAGATTCACCCTTTGTCTATACTTTGGGCCCATGGCAAATTACCATGAAACAGTCTTGCTAAGTTATACCAATAAGTAAAATTATTTAGAAAATTTAAAAACATTTTGTGATTTCCGGATAATTTAAAAATATTTTCACAGTTGCAAGGGAAGTCCTATGGTTCATTTCTTGGAAATGAACATGAAAATTCTCTCATGCTGCCTGCATACTCAGCACAGCTCACCGTGTCCTGAAGCTGGGTGTCTAGTTATATGCATATATAACACCATCTATATACATAATACTTACTATTTTTAAGAATTATCTGGCCTCTGTGAAATCAGTGAGAGTTTTGCCACTGGCTTCAGTAAAACCAGAATTTAGACTTGCATGTTGTCACAGTGAAGGCGATAAGCCCTTAGAACTTGTACTTCCCTGTAGTATTTTATTAAGTGTATCATAAAACCTTCACTTTGGAAACACACAGAACATGCATTTTGTGTATTTAGTATTTAAAACAGATACTTATCTATGGAAATATTCCTTTACCTACACACCGTATACTGACAGCCTGAACATTTAAAACAGTCTCTTACAAAATCATTCCATGAAAGTCATTCACCCATTTTTAAATGGTTACAGCACAGAACATTTCTTTTAGCAGGATGAAGTATTTTGTGTGTGTCTTGGAACATTTTTCTGAGGACTATAGCTTTACTATTCAGATACTCTCCTGAGCAGTCTTTTAAGTAAAGAATTTAAGTATGTATCAAACACTTTCATTTTTCATATAGTTCTGTTAATCTTATTAATACTAAATAAAGTATATTGTAGTAACTGGCTGTGAGAGGAAAATAAAACTATAGAGCCAGATTCTTCTTTTGCTGTATACTCTAAGAAACGTTATTAATTTGTAATTGAGTGACTCTGAATTTACAACTTGTCTGATTAATGCAGGCATATGGCACTTTGAATTTCAACTGTTTAGAATGTCTTTCTAGGAGCATTTAAAATTGTTAAATAGTATTTAATATGCTCTTCCCTTTCTCTGCTTGTTGTGCAGTTTATTCCTATGCCAGTACTTTATGGAGTATTTCTTTACATGGGTGCTTCATCTCTAAAGGGAATTCAGGTAAAATGGATTTATGAAGAGTGTGTTACTGATGATGCTTTCTATAAAATGTGTAGCTATTCTTATTATATTATTTTATTATCTTTTGTGTATAATCTTAAAGGAATGTTGCCAACCTTAAATTCTTGAAAGTGACTCACTTAAAAAGGAAAATGGATTCTCTCTAAATAGAGTATTCCCTTTAGGTAATGTGCTCCAATTTGTTATTTTTTAGGGGCCGATTCTTCTGTTCTCCCTTGTTATCAAGGGAATTTTGGCTGAGCCTAAAAACTGAGTAACAACTATCAGGATGTCTTCCCTCTCCCCTGTCTCCCCGTTCACTCGCTTGCCTGCTGCCTTTTCAGCTTCCAAGTCAGTGCCTTTGTACTGGTACGCTTGATCTTGAAGTTTGCCTATATGAGGTTTTTGGCTAACTTGCCCTAAAACTAACATAGGTGAGATTTTGAAGGTATTTCCTGTGCAAATAAATGCCCTAGGCAGGGAAGTGAAACTGTTGCAAATCCCATGCTACTTAATTTCTGGCCTCAGGGATGAAGGACAAGTCTACTGGAAGGGCAGCATTAGCCTTAAGTAGGAGTCCCTGGTGGAAGCCAGGCACTCCAGCATTCAGGTCAGGGTTGGTAATGGTATCCTACGTACTGTTTCTCCTGGATGACTGCAGCGTTAAATGGCACGATGTCAAATCTTTTCGCCCACCTGACACAAACACTCAAATTTTCAAGTGTACCTTTGTTTATTATCGAAAGTTGAGGTATTGATATACCTTCCAAGACAATTGAGAAAGAACAGTCACATGACGAAAACATGAATTATACTGTGCAAAAGGTTGTCAAATACAAAGAACAAAGAAAATGCCTGATTGTTTCTTCCATTATATTTGAATTTTTGATTGCGAGTTAAAAATGTCTTGCTTTTTTTTACCTCTTTATTATTTATAGGCAAAGGCTGGCAACATCTCGTGGTTTTTTGACTGGTGTTTTCTATTCAGGGACTCTTCTTTTATAACTTTGCCTAGCTCTTAGCATTTGGGTTGATATTCTAAGAAGTATAGTTTGGCTTTTACTGAGGTTTAGATAATTTCAACTTAATATGGTTCAGCTGTTTCTCAGAACAAGGGTATGAGAAAGTACACTATTGAGGAGTGTTTTTAAGGCATGCTAAAATCTGGCTATCTTTACTTGGAAAAGTGATAGCATCCCCCTCCCTTTCTCCCTCCCCCAAGCTGGGATAAGGAATTGAGATTTGATAAGATGGCTTTTGTGGGAGGATGTGCTTTTTGCTGTTTCTGTGAAAAAGAAATCTGTTCAAATCTGGCCAAATTATAAGCCTTTAAAAAATGCAGTTTGCACATGCTCAATAAAAATTCCTGAAACTTGACATTCCTGAAGACTGTGTGAATATAGCATGGCTCATCCATGCTGGGAGAAATGGTGCATCACCGTCATCACTGTGCCATAGCAGCTGACACAAAGTCTCAGGTCAGTATGGAGCCAAATAGGTGTGAAAAACAAGAACCTCTCATGTACATTCCTAACAGCATGGCAGTTGTCTTTCTGGCTGGCCTTTTTGGGTTTTTTGTTCCTGGTTTTGTGAAGAAAGTGCAACAGGGAAAAGAAAACAGCCTGGGATAAAGTGTCTGGTGAAGTAAACTGGAAAAAAGGAAAGGATTTTCATCCATAGGAGATAAAAGACTGAAGAGATCCCTCCATGATTAGCTTTTTGTGTGCTAAAGGAAGCAGAGCTCAGTTGTTGAAAAACAGAAGTTTAGAATGTATTAGAAAGGCAGTGTAATAGTGCATATGCCCAACAGGATCAACCAGCTTCCATTCAGTTTGATTCACAACTGATTCACATCTACTTTGAAGTCTGGCTTTGCCTAACTTCAAGAGTTCTTGTCTTGAAATCTTAGCAGTACTATTTTAAAGTAACTATTTTCTTTGTGTATAACATGTTATGCAGTTATGAGCAGGATGTTTCCTGGAGTATGATGACTATACAGAGTGTAAGTCAGCGGAATCTAGTATCTCAGCAGATCTGCAATAGAAATACCTAGGGAGACACTCGTGTATTAAAATTGAAAGGAACTTAAGGAGTATGACTAACCAAATAATTAAACTTTACTTAAATAATATGATTCTCATTCTTACTCTGGTCACTCAAACGGAGAGAAGATGAGTCCTTTACTACTGTTGGACTAGTATAGATTCATGGCTCATGATTGTAACTGAGGTAGTCTTTTTCTGTGCTCCTGAACTTCTGCACAATTTTTGCCTTTAGAATAAGCCAGATTCTTAGGATATTCAGGGTCTCTTAGGCAGTGTGTGAATGTCAGCATAGATGATTCTACAGCTCATTTTGATGCAAACTTTTAAAAATTTCTCTTTCAGCTTTTTGACAGGATAAAGCTATTCTGGATGCCTGCAAAGCATCAGCCAGATTTTATTTATCTGAGGCATGTTCCTCTTAGAAAGGTCCATCTCTTCACTGTAATTCAGCTGAGTTGTCTTGTGCTTCTGTGGATTATAAAAGTTTCAAGAGCTGCCATTGTCTTTCCTATGATGGTATGAAACATTTTTTATTTCCTCTAAAAATCCCTTTTGTTTTCACTTGTGGATAATTATTATTGAAGAAAAAAGTTAATTGTCGGTGGGTAATTACAATATTGATTCGATTCAATGTCCAAGGACAATTCATACTATATTAATTAATGAAAAATTCTACGTATAATCTCTAGTTTGAGTCTAGGTTGCATTCTGTTTATATGTGTGGATAGCCCAACTGTATATTCTCTTAGGGAAAATTCTTCTCTTTAAAAAAAAAAAAAAATTAAAGTTTATTTGATGTTTTTATTTAAGGAGTAGTGCTTAATCATTTTACAGAAAGAACATTCACTCATTAAGGAAGATTGTTCATTGCACTGAGGAACTTCACTGATAGTTCTTTGCCTTGCTGGAAATAAAAGAAAAATCTATTCTGCTGCTTAAGTGATTTCTCTCTGATTGTTTCACTAATTGAAAAGAAAAGATACCTACTGACCTCAGTGATTGTTAAATGCTTCGAGCCATACCTCATCTGAGCAAAGGAAGACCAGCTGTTAGCCTATCCAAATTAAAGGACAACATCCTAGCTGTAAACTGTGGTCACTTTTCAAAGTATTCCTCTACAAGCATATTTGTTAGTTTTACTTGGTTAATTTCCTAATTCTTTGAATTAATATCTTTACAGGTCCTAGCTTTGGTATTTGTCCGAAAACTCATGGATTTCTTTTTTACTAAACGGGAGCTCAGTTGGTTAGATGATTTGATGCCTGAGAGCAAGAAAAAGAAACTGGAAGATGCTGAGAAAGAGGTGGGTCATGCAGCACTCAATTTCTTCTTCAGACGTTTAGAGAAAATTCTATAAATACGGCATATTCCATATAACAAACAGACTTGTTAACAGTATACAAACTGTAATATTTTCATATTTTACATAAATCCTTTTAAGGTTACAAATCTAATAGGCTTACTTGGGGATGTCTTTTAAATGTAGATTCTTATGCTGACATACTGTCATAGAACATAGTATCTATATTGCTCCTGGGATTGCTCCTGAGACCCACTCAGATGATGTGCAGGGATGAACCTGTGTCTGTAGGAAAGCCCTCAGATGCCTGGGGCAATTTGATGCTGCTGGAGATGCTGAGGAGAGCATTGCAGAATTTAAGAGGCATGGCATGTCCCAGCTACATCTGAGCCATACATAGGTCACATGCCATCACCCTGTGCCCTCCCCACTCAGCAGTGTCATAACCCCGTGCAGTATCCCTATTACACTCTGAGCCAGCATTTTCCTTCCGCTGCTGCAGAAACAATTTACTTCCACTTTCTAATGAAAAGGTCAGTGATGCTGCTTATCCCTGTTAACCAAATCCTCAGACTTCTACTTACAGGCTGTGGCACTGCCACCCAGTTGACTGTTTCAGATCTGGAGTCCTCTTCTCCTTTCAAAAAATATGCATTTCAGATAATTTCTTATGAACTTGATACAGAACAGATTCTTAGACATTTCCACTCAGAATGTTCCTATATTTTGACAGTGAAGCACATATCTTTCTGATTGTAGATTTCTAACCAGTTTTGCATCTGTTTGATAGCATTTTCATCTAGCTGCTGCTTCATGAATTGCTTGTTTGAATATCATATAAAACTGTGGGAATATAAAGTAACTTTATGTGTAAGGGGTGGAGGTCTTTGTCCTTTGTCCCTGGTATCAGCCACCTGATCAGTGTCAACTGTTAGGGAACATCAGTTACTGAGCCCAAATAAATGCGGGACAAGTCTCAATGGAGAAGCGCTAACTGCTGGAGCAGTGGGTAGAATATGTTGGTGCCAGGTTATTTTAAATGGGAGTCGTGTGTCCTGCGCCAGCACTTTTGAATAGTAACATGGTGTGAGGCTGCGGTGGCAGTGGGAGGTGAAGGTGCAGACAATGCCACATGGTCTTGGCAGGCTGTGGTCACTTCTCTGGGGACAGTTGTGCATATGACCTCTAAGATGCCCTGAAGACCTCTGCAAAAGCCCGGGACATAACCTTTTGGTGGTACAAGGGTACTGCAAAAACTAGACAGTGTGAATGGATAAATCGGCAATTTATCCTTAGGGATGCCCTGAGATGTGATCTGAGACCAGTGAAATGGTGTGTGTAAGGATTCCCATTGGTAAGTCTATTTGCAGAAATAGGACATGAGCTAGTAATTTGAACATGTAACTATGAAAACTAGATTTCTCTGCCTTTAGGATTCTTCCGTGACCTTTGACAACTCACTGCCTCATCTGTAACCTGGAGAACTATAACTTTCCTTTCTTTGACACATTCAACATGCTTTCACAGAATACGTTTTAGGGGAAAGGTTTTACCTGGGTGATAAACATCATGATGATTATTTACTATTTAGTATGTGCCTGTAAAACTACCAGGCTGAAATTAGAATACATGAGTCATTGTTTTCCCCCTTGAATCGAAGCAGACCAGAGAGTTGTTTTATCACAGTATCTGTTGTCATCACAATTCAGAGTAACCAAAAGTAACCAAGGTAGCTCTCTTCTTGTGGGTCTGGTTATTGGAAAGAATTCCTTGTTATCCTTATGTTTTGGTTATATGTCACTTTCCTTCCCATGCTTGATAGGATGGCATCAGAAAACAAAACTGGGAAAATCTACTGGTGTTACTTTATTTCATTCACTGTCTATTTTGAGAGGTTATTTTTACATATTTTGGCATTTCTAAATATTTGGAGCTATTATTAAAACTGTTCAACTGTCAAAAACTTATGAAGCTGTGAAGCCTGGAAATGACAAAATTAACTAGTAATAAAACTTCTGACATGTAGCCTAAGGAATTAATTGGAGAGTTGCTATCACACGGCTTTTAAAAATAGAAGTATTCTACCCACAAGAATATTCAGAAATATAGTTGACAAGATCTGAAACTTACTTGATTGGATCCTAATTTCATCACTTAAGTTGTTTTTATATATTTAGGCCATGTTTTTCCAAGGCTTTGTACATTTATAGTGGAAGGCATGCATATGCCTTCTTCTCACAGACCTCCTTTGGAAGCCACTTTGATGTTAATCAATTAAGTCTTTCTGAGACAGGAATGAACAAAGTGACTTCTCCCATTTGGAGAAAAAAATGTTGTGACTTTTAAAATAGTTGTAATAGTAAAATATAGAAGAAACAAATTTCTGTGCAGAGAGGACTTAAATTCTACTGTTTTGGAAAATTGTACTGGCTCTTCCAGCTAATACTAACTTATCAATGTGTGTGATGCATGTGGGGTTTTGGGTGATCTGCCAGAAAATGGTAAGCTCTTTTTGGGAGAGCCAACTTACACTTTCAAACAAGGCAGCAGGGTAAACCGTTACAAAGCCATCTAATAAAGGGAAGAAAGACGTGGAGGTCTCTGGGTGTCTGTTATGCTCACACACACACACAGTGCAACAGTTTAGGGCAGGATTTGGTGATTACATTCATGTGAAGGCACGTTAACCTCTTGGCTGTGGTTTTCCTGAGCTAACAGGGGTGTAAGCCTTGAGAATCCTCCCGTGGAGTCTTGAGCTGATGTCTGAAAGACAGAGACTTGTTCTCCTTTGTTCTTGCAGGCAGGATATGGTGCTTGAGGGGTGTTGTGTTGTTCTCCCCTCCCCCTAAGACAGATTTTCCAGATTTGTAAATATTTGACAAAAAGATTTTTGGTAGATATGTCTCCTAGTTCTCTTCACTTCCTGTTACAGAAGTTTTTTCCCTATTCAAGTGAAAACTAATTTTGGTGTCTTGTTTCACTGCCTTTCACTGCAGTAAAACTTTATCAGTATTAAAACTGTGTGTGCAATCTTAAATTTGGCTTCCCTAATTTTTGCATGTTAACTTTGCAATGTATGTATCCTGTTATGCATGATGTTTAAAATTCACCATACAGTTGCTCACTCAGTGTTGCTAATTTTTCTCTTTCTTTATTGTTACAAAAATGTCTCCTCTATTTGGCATTGAAAAATAACATTAATTGAAGATAACATCTTTTAAAATAGGGGGTTTAAAATGTCAAATATTTAAATTAAAAGAGTTGAAAAGTATCTTACTTTAAGAACTTCAAATAAATACCTAATAGTAAAGAAAAGGGGAAAAAGGATTAAAGTATACAAATTTCACTTTTCACAACAACATATCCTGTCTCATGTCTAAATTCCTTCCTTCTAGGAAGAGCAAAGTATGTTAGCAATGGAAGAGGAAGGGACTGTTCAGTTGCCACTAGAAGGACATTACAGGTAAAATATACCTTTCCTCTTTTAGGTGAGTTGCAATCAAACAAATAAAATAAACATGCCACGGTATTTACTCTTAATGCTTACTGAATGTCAGGAGGATGTCTGTCGGGTAACAGAGTACAGACAGGTGAACTGAACCATATACTGCAGCATTTAACAAGCTCAGCCCTCTTCTAGTCTTTCCACGTCATCTCACAGTCCCTGGGAAAAAGACACACTAGTTGAAGTTTTCTCTTGGGCAGGACCGCAGGATCAGGCTGTTCATAATGAACCTTTACTTCTGACATGCACAGTACGAAAAGAAGATGTAGAGCAGGTCAAACCCTTCATCCTGATACTAGCAGGGAGCCAGGAAACACACCCCAGAAAAATTAGGTTCTTACAGTATTACATTTTAAAACATTCTAATTAAAATCCTATCTATGTGAGATAATAGGTGAATAAAGAGAAGGCATAGTGCAGGGTTGACACAACTTAAGCATGAAAACCTATGTTATAGATAGTAATAATACACATGGCCAGCCCATAAGGACTCTCATTTACAGTTTTCAGAAAGAAAGTTTGTAATAAAGATTTGAAATACCTACTGATAGTAACCTCTGCATTAATGTTGAATTCATAGGAACACTATCTCAGAGTGGCCTCCTCTTACATTTTAACACAGTTACCCTAATGTCTCCGAAGGCAAATAACTAACTGTGTCTCTGAAAAATCCCAGCCTATTTCTTACTTTTGATTCATCACACTTCTAATGGTCTGTTTTCTTCTTCTTTTGTCCATACCTTTTTGTTCTATTTTATATTAGCAATACTTGGATTAATTTATCTTGAGGTGTGATCTATGTTGATCTATAGTGATCTATAGTGTGTTTACTTAGGTAGAGTTGCCTGGATAATATCTGACTTTCTGTACTGTAAGGGTACAGCTAAAAAGAGGAGTCAAGACTTCGGTTGATAAAGTGGTTCCCCAAACACTCTGAAAACAAGTTTACTGAGGGCTTACTGAATGTCAAGCCATACATAAACCATGAAGTCAGGAATAATATACAGGCAGGCCCTTAAAACATTTAAGACTTTATTATCCTTAAATGTATAAATATGTATTTGGAGCAGTCCAGGTAAAGCTAAGGGCATAATGGCTACAAAGTGCTGCTTAAAGCTACTGATTAGCTTGTTTAATTGGGGCATTTTTATTAGATCTCTTAAATCTTTGACTTTGTCAAGGTTGTTGATTGCTTTTAAAATTGTTTTAAAAGCAGGTGGAGTTTCAGAGCATAAGTACTTTGAGAACTGTTAGGAACTTTTAGGATTCTTGTTTAATCCAACTATGCCGCTGGCATGCTGTGAGATGTTGGGCAATATTTAATTTCACAGTTCCTCATTTTTCTCTGTCTATTAGTTGTAAGTGAAACAATATATTTTATTGATGTTACTGTGATTAATTGCTATTGGAGGAGGAAAATGCTAAAAAAGTGCTAAGATGTTTTAAGAGAATACTTAAGTCATTGTTCAGGATTTTTGAAGTTTAACATAATTTCTTAACTTACATTGCAGTTATTTATTGTCACCACTATCAGTTTTCAAGGACTTTTGTAGAGTTAATAAGTAACAAAGACTAATCGTTCATTGTTTTATTGTGTATTTACTTTTATTCTTGCCTAGAGATGACCCATCTGTGATAAACATTTCTGATGAAATGGCAAAAACTGCTGTGTGGAAGACATTGTTGATATCCTCGGAGAATGCAAAAGATAAGGAGTCAAGCTTTCCTTCTAAAAGGTTTTAATTTTTTTTACTACATTATACTTTATATTGGTGTCAAACCAATATTAGAATATTTTGCTAGGGTTTAGAAAGATTTCTAGCATCTTGCAGTTTTATTTCTTGAGGTTTTCTTTTATTTATGTCCAGTCATAATATTCTGAGCTCAAAACACAATTTCACTATGTACATTTATTAAAAAAAAAAAAAAAATCACAAATATTTGCATGCCACTTAGTTATGCTACAGTGGAAAATGAAGTTGAGCATGCCCGATGCTTGTGTAATGAACCTCCAACCTACACCTAGATATTGCACAACAGCTGTTGGGTTTGTTCTGCTTGCTTTTGTTCTTTCCTCTTGAAAAAGAAGTGGTCATCACTGCCCTGGAAATATCTATATGAAGAGCCCAGTACTCTGAATGTGATCTACTAATATTTGGAGAGAAAACAGTTTTAAGATTGCATGATTCTTTTCATTTTCTTGCCTACTTCACTTGTACTCAAAACAGCTAAATACTTTTAAATTTTAGTCCAGACAAATGTAAAAAGAAGCAATGATGTTTTATCTGTGCTACAGAGTTATTATGGGACTAAGAAAATATTAAATACAAGCACAGTGTGATTGTAAGAGAGATTTTCCTCTGTTTCCACAAATTTTAAATTTAACTATTTTCTACTTAATTGTTTTATATCACATTTTTGTCATAAGCTCCCCTTCCTAATCACTCTAGAAGCCGATTCCCCAAAGGTAAGACCCTGTCCCCCAACCTTTTCCTTGATTGTATCTTCCAGTTCAAAGTGGTGTCACCTAGGAACCCAAATGACTTGACTTTGTAATTTTTGGGGAGGCAGAATGAAAAGAAATTTCAGATAGGAATGTAAAATGTCTTCATCAAAGTCCTTAATATTAAAATTTGAAAGTTATTGTGTATTAAAAATAGAAACTGTAGATGTACTATATTTAAATGTTAAATTGTATTTATTCCTAGATTTTTTTTTCATTAATTCTTTGACTTTTTTAAAATATAAAATTATATTCTGCCCATTTCTAACTCTAGTGTTCAAAACAAGCTCCATGTTTGAAACAGCTGGTCATTGTTTTATGGTGAAAAGATGCAATAAGAGAAAAAATTTTGTAATGAAATACATTTTTTAATTTTGTCACCCCAAAATGGCATGCTGCCTTTCAGTTGTTCCTTTCCCTAAACAGCATAAACAAAATGAACAGCTGATAACCAGAGAATCTTCATTTCAGACACCCATGGAGCATCCCACTAATGTGATCATTTTAATCATATTTCACTGACAGTCAAAATAGCAGTATAGTTCTGATTTGCCTTCCACCCTACACATGGGCTGAAAAAGGATCCTGTCACAGTGAAATCAGTGTGGTGCATGGGAGAAGGATGTACAGTAGGGTTTTCTTACCTTATGTGCCTCTGCTGTCCAGGCTGTGAAAGCCTGGAGAAACAGAAGAAACTGATTATGTAAACATGTACTGGTTTTACCTGAAATTTTCAAAGATCCTTTGAGCAAAGAGCATCCACATAGACTGTGGCTCAGACAACGTTGGTAAAAGATGATTTGGCATTTCCACTGCAGTAAAATAGAAACTGATTTTCTAATGAGCTTATTTTCAATCTGTTCTTGTATCTTTGCTCATGAAAACAAAGACTCAGGTGAAAAGGAACTAAGGGATCACAGGTTTTATGGTTTTAGGTATGAGTGTCCTGTTGTAAAGGAACAACCTGTTAAAGAATCTGAAATCCTGCTTTTTCATGTGCTCTAGCTTGTCTCAGATTCCCAGACAGAAGTAGACTCAAAGAACTTTAAACCTGGAAGGCTTGCTTTCTGATAAGCAAAACCATAGACAACATTGATCTGAAAACATATTAGAGATAGAGCTAAAGAAACATTATATTCCTAAATGCATGTATCATTACATGAAGATGTAATTCAATCCTAGGTAAGTACTGAGAAAAAAGAAAGCTTGAAATGGTAACACTCGTAAGGATAATTTTTGCAAATGATCAAGATCACCAGTATTACATTACCCAATTCCCTTCAGTGAAGGGTATCTTACTATAGGGAGAAAAAAAAATCATGTTGTTTTGAAATTAATTTTACTGATGCCTTTTGAAGTTCAACTGCAGAAGTGTTTAGAACTCCTTTTCCTGTTGTCAGGTCTACTTTCTTATACTAATATCCCAAAATACTATTAAATGGGTATAATTAAATTATGATACTGTACTATGATTTCATGTAATGCCTTTTACGTAAGGCACTGATCAATTAACAACATAGGGTGATTTCTGGAATACATAAAATCTGGAAGTTCTTCGTACTAATTAAATACTGAGTTGACTTGGCCAATGGAAGACTGGCCAATAATAAACTAAGATCGTCTCCAAAGAGAGATTTTAGGCAGGAAGGGTTTATACAAATGACTTCTCAGCCTGATGCATGGATAATACCTATCATAAGCTCTGCACTGCCCCTGGCTCTGTGAAGTAGTATAGTGTGTGACAGTTCTTGCCTCCCAGACTCATGACAGTATTTAAGTGTCTAAAGAGGGGACTTAAATGAGATTTACTTAGTCAACTGTTGCCTAACCATAGAGGCACCTGAACTTTACAATTTTCCAACCTTAATTTTTCATTATTAAAATTCCTAGGGACCTAAAGGTCTGCTTTTGAGCCTGTCTTGGTAGAATTGAACACCAAGGCACCTATCTGAAACATAGCCCTCTTTGGTACATGTAATTAAATATTCCTTTGTCTTTGCTTATACTACTAAGCCTTTCAGATAGCAATTCCAAAACATATGCAGAAGATCCGACCATGTATAGAAGGTAGTCCTAGCTGGTCTTTTAAAGTATTGGAGAAAGAGGCATCTATCACTTTGTAGATGGTATGAGTTCCCCTCTCTACCTGAGGTTATGCAAATCCCGCATCCCAAACCTTCCTTCTCAGGCTTGTTAGACTACTCCCTTGGTAGGGAGGAAGAGAGCTTCAAGTCCCTTACAGATCCACCAGTTACGTGTTTTACTGGTAAAAGGCTGGACTTGTCCTTTTTTTTTCCAAATTTCTCAAGGCATTAAAGCCCACATCTGCAGATGCTCAGAGATGTGAATCCTAAATAGAAGGCAGACTTTCCTGGTATCACAGAGGCACCTAAAACTTGGAAATATTATAGACTGTAAAGCACATAACACATCCTCAGTGTTTGATTTTACAAAGCACAGGTAACTCTCTGCCTGCTGTACTGCTGCACTTTAAATTCACCCCCAGGTATTTGTTTACATACCCTTTGTGTGCAGAAAGTGTAACATACCCAATTCTATCACTGTTCTACAGAAGGTGACAGATTTGGCAGTTGAAGTGGCAGAAGTTGGTATTCTTTAGCTATTTCCATTAACACCTCTGGAAGCTGCTATAGGCATAGAAGTAAGCTTTGGCTGAACTGAATTGTATCCTTAAAGCAATTTTTATGTGAAGAAAAATGTCAGATGATTGTAAAATTGTGCATGAATCACCTTAAGAATTTGAGAATTGATCTTGCTTTCTTTAAGCCTTGTGTAATTCAGCCTATTTCTCATTCATTCTAGTTAAGGAATTATTCCCATGAAACCTGGTAGGTTATGTGCTTGATACAGGTTTGTTCTCAAAACCATTTTTTTTTTTTTTTAGATACCCTGCCACTCTTTGTTGAAGGCTTGATTTGCCTGTGTTGTGGAAGCCTCTTTGCATTTTCGTAGTGTGATTGAAACTCATTGCAAGAACATGACTTTTTATTTATTTACGCTGTTGTAAATTAGGACCCTCTTCACACACAAAAAATCATCTGCTTTGCATATATATTGCGTTCTGTAGGCAAATCAACAGTGTTTTAACTGGAAAAAAGCTGATTCCAAATTTGAACTCTGCTTCAGAGTTATTAGTGATACGGCTTTTGTATGATCTTTCAGGCTTTTTTAAAAAAAAAAGTTATTTCCTTATAATGTATACATGAGGAAGTATGGATTAAGCTCCAAATGGGGAATATTGTCACTCCCCCAGAGTGACCCCCCAGTGTCACCCCCCCAGACTTCTCCTGCTCTCCCCAATCAAGACTGAAAGCCAAATATTACAGTTGGAAATTGGCTTGCACTGCTCTAGTTCAGAAACATTCCTTCTGAATGTACAGAATACATTTTAAAGACAAGAAATACTTACTGTGACATCGTTTGTGCCATTTAAGAAAATGCCAGTATTGTCTGAGAACTCTACTGTTACCATTATTTAATCAATTAACAGTTGTATTTGCCAAAAAAAAAAAAAAAAAAAAAAAAAAAAGTGGCTATCTTTCTTTGCTTGCATGCTGGCTGACTTGTCTGTCTGTACATCTTAAGTTCTCTACCTACCTTGTCACTAAAATGCTGGCTGATGTCTTCTGCACCATTCAGCACAGAAACTTTCAGTTGCTTCCCAGTTTGCGCTATGCAGCATGAAAAATTAATTAAGTATCAGTGCAACGTTGGTTTTCGGGTAGATCATTAATATATATGATAGTGCTGCTGTAACTCTTTTTTTTCCTTCTTTTCCTAGTGCTGAAATCAGAAAAGAGAAGAAAGCTGACTCAGGGAAAGGTGTTGACCGGGAGACTTGTCTATGACTTGTTCTTCAATTAATTTTTTTACAAACGAATGAAAGGAGTGCCACAACCACTAAATATAAATGATTTGACCTTGTAACTTTTGTCTTTCATCTCAAACTAGCACAGGTAATGTAGTGCAATATTTGTCTCATTTCACCTTGTCTACATTGTCTAGTATCCGTGTAAAAGTCTGCAGTAGCCAATGCAAAAAATCTTCATGTTCTTTGCTAATATTGGCCATTTATCAGTATTCGTATCATAAATTTAACAAGCAAAGTTTCTTTCAAATTCAACTTCCCTGTTAATAGGTTTGTACTGTATTTTGCTACTTTTTCTGTGTGAGAATACTTAATAATCTTCATTCAAGATGAACTTGAAAACACTTGTTCCAATTTTGTTTTTTTTTTTTTTAAAAATCACCTAACTCGAGTAAATGATTTCAGGAGTCCCAAACTGACAAGCAAACATTAAAGAAGTTTTTAAAATTAACAACAGATCTGACCCTGTGAACAAACTAACAAGGATAATCCTTTCCTCCTCAAACTGTCCTTTTGAAGTCATGGATTACTCTTGCAATGAGGATTGCAGGGTCAGATCCCGTATTTGTGAAGTTTTCCTTGATTTAATACAGTGTATTTCATATTCAAATTTGTATGTAACTGAAACATAGTCATATATATATATAAAAAATATATATTAAAGATATATTAAAACATTCTCACCATAGTTGAAAAACACCACCACATCCTTTGATGTGAAACATGGGTACAGTATTTCTTAAAATGCAATCTGTGATAACAGTATCTTATCTTGTATTGTATGAATGTTGCTGTGGTAGGCCAAACAACTGCATTATGTCATTAATCAATCCATTATTTTATAACAGGGAAAATTTTTTATATACAAACTATACCCCATATACAGTTGTATCACCTGCCCAATGATTTTCCTCTTTATTGCCTAAAATACAGCCACATAAAGGTTATGTTTATTTTATCCTCTCTCTACTAACAACTGTAAACCTCTTAATTTCAGAGATTAATTGTGTACAATACTTAAATGGGTATCCTGCTGTTGGTTTTGTTACAGCTCTTTACTATTCATCAAGTACATATTGATTAAAAGATAAAAACAACATTGCAAAGTAAAATGTGGCTTTAAAGCCATTACAAAGACATTTTTCATAACTGATTTTGTTACTGCCTGATCCTTCAAGCTGTTCTTTTGTGTAAAACAAGGACTGCGAGATTAGGCATTGAATTAATGGAGACGTGGAACAGAAGTTTTATTGCGTTATTTGGAATTCACTGATTTTTAAATTTTTTTAAGATAGATTTTTAAATGATTAAATGAAAGCTAACTTTCATTATTATGCTATTACTTTGAATCCTACAAATAAGAATTACAGTCTTGTAATCTTTATAACAACTTATCTACAGGGCTCTAGCATTCCCCAGCTTTCCAAAATATGATAATCTTTCCACAGACTTCATGTGAACAACTCTTCATATCCAGCACATTTAAAGTATTCCTCCTTTTTGTGCATGTGTGTGTGTATGTTTTACTACTTTAGCCATAAATGAAAATTGCATTTTGCTGCAAACTAATAGGGTCACTGTTCTAAATTTGGCTTAGCATTATCAAAGCCCATTAAAGGCCATTTTTATGGAGAAAAAAAAATCTAATGGACACAAAGAAGGATTTACATTTAATTCAATGTTTGTATTTGTAAATTCAGGAAAAAAATGCTGATGCATTAAGGTTAAATGCTTTGTTTTGTGTACTTGATGATAAATCGTAAGATTCCAATTGTTTTAAGGTTAGTATAGAAGTTCAGTACTGGTTTGTCCTGAAAGCAGCCTGGTGGTGTTTTAATATGTTGCTGACTTTGTTACAGATAATGTATACAATCAAAATGTATTCGTTTCACTTGACCAACTCTTAGAATATTAAGAAATCAGTGTATTCAATGGCATTCTGTATTTCTGTTCAGTATTTCAGAGTGGTTTTACTTTAAAAGTCACTCTGTTTTGTGTGAATTTAAATGCTATTCCAATGTTAATCTTAACATTCTGAAATCACACACAACATAAAGCAAATGTAATGCTGTATTTACTTCTAATTTCATATTCCTGGTCAGAATTATTCTATTTCTTGGATGTAATTTATTACAGAAGTTTATGTGTACATGTGAATAGACTATTGTGTTTTTCACAATTAAGAAATGTTATGTGAAAATAAATATTTATCCTAACTAATTTTCAATTTTATTTTTACACTGCAAAACCAGAACAAGTATACAATATGGTATAGTGTTTTAAATGTCTACCTGACACTTGAATATGCTTCAAAATTAATGAATCGTAGAGCCCAGTCCTGCTCCATTTCCAAGTGGAATCTCATTGAAACATGCAATGCTATCAGTGTTGGCTTGCCGTGTGTAGTTAATGGCGGTGTACTTGGTCTGACTTTAACAGTAAGTGTGCTGTCAGGGATGGCACACAACTGACCTGTTCCAGGAAGAAAGTGGGAATTAAATTCTGATTTACTGGTCATGAGTTAGTTCCCCTTGCTCCTGGGAGAGATGATGTGGACCAGGCAGCAGAGTAGTTGGGTCTTTTCACAGATTAATAGGTAAGGTCATACCATTTAAAATTCCTCCATGCTACAATATTTAGTGTCTTAATTAGTTGAACAGTGGCTACGGCCAATTGTGGGAGCTTCTGCTATTCTCAGGACCCTAAATTTCTGCTACTGGAAAAATGTTAGGCCTTAAAGCCTAGTACTACTGCCAAAACCCAATACTTCAAGTATTGACTCCATCTTGTTAAATCCCTTTGAGCTTCTTCACCAATTTTTAAACCAGACTGCAAGCCTCCCAGCCTGAGAATTTTAACAGTCACGTCTCAGGCTTCAACTGCTTCTTTTAGGATTTTACACAAAGTGTATTGTACAACAAACTTAAGTATATTTCACATGGAAAAAAAAAAAATACCCAGGAAAAAAAGGTAATTGGTAGGTGCCTAACTCACTCTAGCATGTGGCACTACTTCAGGCACAACTGGTTCCAAGTGTTGGCTTTGTACATGAATTAAATGAGCTGGCTTTCTTTTGTGGCCTCAGTTTTAGGTATTTACCGGTGCTCATGCATTTCAAGTAAGTTGTCAGTTCCCTGAGGCAGCTCTATTGTCCTATTGTCTGCATTATTTTTGGAGCTGAGGGAGATCTGGAGAAAACTGGACACTAAACCAATGTTTATTAAGACACTTACTACAGCAACAAAACTTTGTTGTTTTAAAAGTTGCATCATGCTCTTAGCAGCATATCTTAGAAGTTGCTTTCCAGAAAAAGAAGTAGAAGATAATTAGCATTGTACTTTATTATGCCTCACAGGTAAGACAGAGTCCTGTTTTAACTGTATTGAGAGTACAGAAGAGTTTCCCAGTGAGATGCTAGCATCAGTACGGTAGGTCAGATACAAAGAACTGCATCTTTACTTAATGAAAGACTTACCCAGACTATCTAATTTTTAGTTATTTAAAAAGGTTTTTTTTTTAATGCTTCTCTGATTACACTAAGGGAATACTTGCAGTTCTTTAGTAAGTATGAGAGCCTAGTTAATGTAGTTTTTTGATTAGAGAAATACTTTTCTTTTGTCTATATGATAGTGTGAGTGATAACATTTTTAAAACAAAAAAACCCCAACAATTTGCCCCTTGCATACAGAAGGCATCCAGAAGTTCATAATGGTCATCTTTTTAATAACCTATCTGCATTGCTGTGATCTACCTTTATACTGATTTGTGTTTCTTTCCCTTGAGTCAGAAGAATCAGAGATGTGGCTACTAAAACCTCTTGGCAACAACTGACAGCCTGCATCCTACAGAACTTTAAGAGTGGTGCCAGTCTACATTAAAACCACTAATAAATTGAGCCCAAGATTGTATTTGTAATACCCATCTCCAGTTTTGTTTCCCAGAAAAACCTTATTTTGTGAGTCAAGGAGTTTTTGGTTTGTGAAGCCAAAACCTTATTTTCCACCTCGGGCCCCCTTCTCTTTCTCATTTAAGGACAAGCTGCACAAACTGTCTTGACATTCTCCCTCACCTTCCCCATGCTTTATCTGTCTGTATGAGTACCTCTACATTCACACCTAATGCCAGTAATAACCCACAACACATACATAATCACATGCTGGCATCTACTATCAAGAAGCTAAGAGTTAGATAATCATTTCACATTCCGTTCCATGATACCATTAAACAAAAGCAGAAAAGTCACTGTAACTCTCTCTCAAAATTAATGGATTTTTGTAAAGTTCTAGGAGTTCGTTTCTTGAACAACATTTTCAATGATACGGACTACACCCCCTTTCATAACAATGTCTTTATTATTTTAAGGCAGCACAGTTTGTAGTACAAGCGGGTTGCATCTTTTCTATCTATGTGAAAGTAAAAAACCTAATCTTAAGACGGAGAAGCCTACCTGGAGTGCTGAAGATAAAGCAGAAGTTTACTGATAGGCTGTGAAGAAAAGCAGGTTTGCTAAATAGCATGTTCACATGAGAGTTACAGGCCAGCCCTTGCTTTAAGTGACTCCTAGTTTGCTGTCACATTGTAATGTTTAATGTTTTATGTTTGAGTGCAAGGAATATATCCTATTCATCAGTAAACTTCTAAAAAAAAAAAAAAGATTTTCTGTCCCATAAACAATGGCTGCTAGAGGCCCGAGATAAGATTTTACCAGTGCAGATTACCACAGTAGCAGTCTATGAGAGGAGATAAAGAAATTCAGTGTCATTGGTTTGCATAGGTATCATTCAAAATCTTTGGTGAAAGCTGGTTACATGCTTTCCTTGCAAGACTTCTACAACTGTAATCCAAGAGACTGCAGAGAAAATACTAACTCAAAGAACTGCAGTAAACAAAGTGTTTCACGCTGCATAGAAAATATTAACACTGCAGTACTCCTGATACTGTTTCTAAAATAGTAATTGATCAAGCATTAGGTAATTTCTG